ACTAGATCTCACAGAAGAGATCTACCTGCCTCCCAAGTGCTAGGATTAAAGGTGTGTTTTACTGTGCCCAGCTTTCTTCTCATTTTAAGTGATTTTTTTTGTATTTATTCTTTGAAAATTTCATACATGTACACAACTGTATCTTGATCATTTCTACCCTGATCCCTCTCTTCAACTCTCCCAGCGCCTTCCCCCCAACACATCTCCCTCCTGGCTTCATGTTTTCTTTTTAAAAAATCTCACTGAGTACACTTAGTGCTGCCTGTATATACATAGGTGTGAGGTCATCCACTGGGGCTTGGGCAACCTACCAGTGACCACCCACCCAAGAAAATGAGTCTCAATCTTCTAGTAGCCATCAGTTGACAGTTAGTTCCTCAGCTAGGGGTGGGGCCTTGAAAGCCCCACCCCACTCCATGCTAGAATTTTTTACTGCCTTGCTCTTGTGCAGGTCTTATGTGGGTAACTAAGGCTGGTGTGAGTTCATGTGCAATGGCCATGTCATGCCTGGAAGACAGCATTCACAGCACTACTGCCCATCCTCTGACTCTTATGTTCCCTGAGCCTTGGGGTTGGGGAGTGTTGGTGGGGATACGCCATTTGTGGCTGAGCACTTTGAACAGTTGAGTCTCTGCATTAACCACAACCCACTGCAATAAGAAGCTTCTCTGACCAAGGTTAAGAGCAGCACAAATCTTTCAGTGCTAGGAGCTGGAGGTATCAGCAGAAAATTTAAAACAATTTTATGTCCTGGCCTTGAGTCACCAACTTTTTGTTTGTTTGCATGTGTGCATATGTGTGTGTGTACATGATGTGTGTGTGAGGTACAGTCACAAGAGTGTCATGATGTGAGTGCGTAGAGGTCAGAGGACAACCTTGGTCCTTACCTTCCACCTTGTTAGAGACACCATTTCTTTGTTGTTCTCTGCTGCGTACTCCAGGCTACGTGGCCCCAAGCTTCTGGTGACTCTTGTGTCTGTCTCTGCCTTCTGTCTGCCTTAGGAGCCCTGGGATTTCACACATACTTTATGTGGGTTCTGGGGATTCAAACTCAGGTCATCATGCTTACACAGCAAGCACTTTACCCACCCAGCCATCTCCCTAGCCCAGTAGCCAGCTGTTTTTGCTTTTGTAATGTGACCATCTAACTTAGGGTCTTGTAGACTCTACTGCTGAGTTATATGATCACCCCTTAAGAGACAGAGATCTTGCTACATAGAACAATTTAGCCTCAAACTTGATCCCCTTGCTTATAATCTTCCAAGTTCTGGGATTGTAGTCATATCCCATCCTAACTTGGATATGAAATTCTGTTGCTGTTGTGTGTTTTGCAGTGGAGGAAATGGGGTGTTGAACACAGAAATGCCTGCTGGTAAATAATCAGAGCACCATTTATTCTCCCTGATTTTACCTGGTTTATTCTAATTGTGAGACTTTGGTTACTTTCCCATAGAAGGCTTTAAATATGCTATATTTTAGAGAAACAGAACCCTGGCTTCTGAATATTAAAATAGAATTTCTCAGATCTTGCTGTTTCTAAGGGATTTTTTTTTTCCCTGTGACTTAAGTGCCTTTTGCTGTTCACAGAATTCTGCTGGTGTAGTGGATGTTTGCAAATGGTACTTAAAGGGCTGAACCCACTTTGGAGACAGTAATGTTTTAATTAGTTTTTGAAGTTGGTGTGTCAGTTGGTAACTGTTCAGAAGCTAAGTAGGACAACATTTTAACAAAAATCAATTTATTCACTGATTTGGGTTTTAATGCTTAATATAATATAGATATTTTCCAGATGTTTGGTTTGGGGTTTTCTTTATGAGAGGCCTATGGAAATTAATAGAAAAATAATTTATTATAATTTTTCCTCTATTATATGTTGTTCTAGTTTCTTTTCAATTGCTGTGACAAAACACTCTGACCAACCAACGTGAGGAGGAAAGGGTTTGTTTGACTCACATCTCCCAGGTCACAGTTCATCACTGAGGGAGCCCAAGGTAGGAACTCAGTGCAGGAACCTGGAGGCAGGAGCTGGAGCACAGGCCATGGAGAAATACTGCTTGCTGGCTTGCTCCCATGGCCCCTTCTCAGCCTGCTTTCTTATACAGCACAGGCCCACCTTCCCAGGGGTGGCACTGCCCAAAGTGGGTGGGGCCCTCTCACATCACTCAACAATCAAGAAAATGCCCCACAGACACGGCCACAGGCCAGTTCAATAGAGGCAATTCCCCCAATTGAGACTCCCTCAACCCAGGTGTGTCAAGTTGACACTAAGACTATCCACAACATATATAATGTCTTTGCCATTAGTTACTTTTCTTGTTTTTATGGAAAAATATTGGATGGAAACTACTTAAGAGAGGAAAGGTTAGTTTTGGCTCATGCTTTCAGAGGGATTTCAGTTTTTTATGGTGGAGACAGCATGGTGGTAGGAGTTGGCTTTGTCCTTAGAGGTGAGAGTGTGAGGTTGCAGAGAGAACAGAGCAGAACCTCCAGTGAATATAACCTTCAAGGCCCATCCCTAGTGACCTATTTTCCCCAATTAAGCCCTACATCCCAGAGGTTGCACAACCCCCCTAGACAGAACTACCATCTGGGAACCAAGTGTTCAAATATATGAGCCTGTGGGGGACATTTCAGACTCAAACTGTAACAGTCTTAAAAGAAAACATGTGGTCAGGGCTCTCTTTTGTCTGCATTCAAGTGAAAACGTTCTGCCCTTTTTGGAGAGTTTGATTTAAAGGTCATTACTTGAAGATAAACTGCAGATGTGCTCACTGACCACATTCTTTAGACTGAATCTTGACTCTGTCATTGTCAGCCCTCAGCAGTGGTTCATCAGGCAGGATATACAGATTTCCCTTTTACCCAATTCTCCCCCATTAGAAATTGTTTTGGGGTTGTTTATTTTCTATTTTTATGTATATGAATATTTTGTCTGCATGTATGTAAGTGCATCTGTGTTATGCAATGTCCATGGAGGCCAGAAGAGGGCTTCAGATCCCCTGAAACTGGATTTATGGATGGTTACTAGCTGCTCTGTGGGCACTGGGAACTGAACTCAGGTCCTCTGCAAGAGACCCAGTGCTCTTAACCACTGAGCCGTCTCTCCAGCCCCAGAGGTTATACGTTTAGTTTAAAGGGCTCTGCCCAGAAGTGAGCAGGAATTGTGGTGGAAGCTGTCACCTTGGGAGCTCAAGTCCTTAGACCCCCATGTGAAAATCAAGGACAAATACTGATATTAATCAGCATACCTTTGGAAAGAAAAGATTTTTTTTTTGTCTTTTTGAGACAGCTGTAGTCCCAGCTGATCAGAAAAGGTATTTTAAAAAGGCTTGTATAATTGAATTCTTTTTAAAGTTTTATTAGAAATTTATAACAAAATAAAAAGTATTTACCAAAAACAATCTCATTCAGCTTATCCAGAAAATCAAGTGTTCAGTCATGTCCAGTTCCTAGTGCTTCAGAATGTCTTTTCTTTTCATGGCTAAGTAATACTCCATTTTATGTAAATATCACATTTTGTTTATGTGTTCATCTGTTGCTGAACCTAACTTACTGATTTTGTACTGTGGATTACAACTACATTTTAAAACATAAAATACAATAGAAAATGTGTGCCTGCATGACATCCCTATTGTTTTTGAAGAATCTATGTAGGGGTCTGTCTCTGAACATTTTTTTGGGGGGGGGGCATAGGTTTGACAGTCTCTTGTGTATCCCCAGCTGACCTGGAACTATTTAGACCGCATTGTCCTTGAACTTGCAAGATCCTCTTGCTTCTGCTTCTCATGATGTGGGACTGCAGGTGTGTGCTGTCACACTTGGCTAGTGTAATGGTATAAGTATAAAATGCTTTCTTACCATCAGTGGCCAACATTGACAGTGTGCACGTGCCCCCTCCCTTACGGTTGTTCCTGGGTGTCTAGGCTGCCTCACAGTGCATTCTCTTTGCCAAGTTTTCATGTCTCTGCAGTGAGAAGTTCTGAATAGGTGAGGCCTAATGTAGGTAAGTTTAAACATCTAATCTAGAAATTTTAGAAAAATATCCTAGTTTATTTGATGCAAGAAGCTGTGCCCATTTTAGTTTTTTTTTAAATTTTAGTTATTTTATGTGTACGAGTATATTGCCTGCATGTATGTGAGTGCACCCATGTTGTGCAATGCTGCAGAGGTCAGAAGAGGGATTTGGATTCCCCTGGAACTGGAGTTAAGAACGGTTCGTAGCCACCGTGTGGGTGCTGGGAACCAAACCCAGGTCCTCTGCAAGAGTAGTCAGTGCTCTTAACCACTGAGCCATCTCTCCAGCCCCCCATTTTAGGTTTTTTATGAAAAAAAATCTGTTCCTTTAGATAATTTAGTTTTATCAGCAACTTATTCCAAAGATGAACCAACTGTTTCTGTTAGAGGCTGCTGTGAGGCACTGTGTTAACATAGGATGTTGTCTTTCCTTTCCTCCTGTTCACAGATGGGATGCAGTGTGGTGTAGAGTATTGTGATCTTTAGAATAAAATGGATCTGGATTCAAACTTTCTGCTACTGGCTAGCTGTGACCAGTTATACATGCATTAGGAAACGATTTGTTCATCTTATGCAGAATTTACAGGCCCGTAGCTGGTTTATGTTGAAGATGGAGATACATTGGGGAAATATATGTTGCAATTTTATTAAAAATCATACAATATTTTTTCCTTTATTTCATGTAAACTAAGGATACAGTTTCCTAGCTCCTCCTCTGTGGGTACACCAAATGATTTGTAGAGGTTCTTAGACTAAGTTTTTCCTCAGTCTCCCATCCTGATCAATTTTGAATCATTGAATAGTAGCCTGCTAGCCTTTTACTACAAAGACAAAACCTGTTGGAGGTCTGAATGGCTGTAGTGACCTTAGATCTATGGGAGCTTAGAGCAGAACCAGCCAGTTCATGTAAATGGGTTTCTGGAGAGCCCTTGGCCCCAGACACTTTGCTACCAGTCTGCAGAATGTCCTTAGAAATGGGCAGATTGGTGCTCCCTTCAGCAGCACATATGCCAAAATTGGAACGATTACCCAGAGACTATTAGCATGGCCCCTGCACAAGGATGACTCACAAATTCATGAAGCATTCCATATTTTAGTTTTTTAAAAAATATTTTTTATTTTTATTTTATTGTACGTGTGTATTGCCTGCATGTAGCTAAGTGCACCTATGTCATGCAATGCCTGTAGAGGACAGAAGCAGCTGTCGGATCCCCTGGAACTGGAGTTACAGACAGTTGTTAGCTGCCATGTGGGGGCTGGGATTTGAACCCAGGTCTTCTGCAAGAACAGTGTTCTTAACTACTGAGCCATCTCTCCAGACCCCCGTATTTTATTTTATTTTATTTTTTTAAAAGAAAAGAAATGGGCAGATTGAAACAAGAGCATCAAAAGACATGGACTACCTTTGAGATCCTGGGTACATTAGATCCACTACATGTATATAAGTTTACTGGTTCATGGTACCATATTCAGAATTCATTTTTCCAGATTTGGCTGTGAGTGCCTACGTTAGGATGCTGGAAAAAATATTACCTGTAAGTCATTTGTTATAGATTAGTTAAAAGAGTTTTGGAGGGAGGTTGCATATTGAGAGAGATAGAAAGAGAGAGAGAGGAGAGAGAGAGAGAGAGGGGTGTGTGTGTGTGTGTGTGTGTGTGTGTGTGTGTGTGTGTAAATCCTGTTCTCAGGTGACTTAGGACTTTTTTGCCCCCTGCCTTTTTAACAAGCACAATAGCACTGAACTATGCTGCTGTTGTCTGCCAGGTCTTTTGACGCTTTCTAGATTGGGAGCTGTACAGTATTTCCTGTGCTAGGCAAGGGCGAGGGTGTATTAGGAGGAACAGGAAGAGCACATGAACTCAAGGGGTGTAGCTGGTTTAAAAAAAATCCCACATGTCCACAGAGTGATACACTCGGAAGGAATCTGACAGAACCAGACATGAGCCAGGAAGCATTGTTTTCGGTTTTCAGGGTCTGCCGTGGAGCCACTGGATTCCAGTGTGCTGGGAGGGCTGGGGGCTTCTTTGGGACACGATAGTGTGCTGCCATGTGTTGGCGTGCTGTATTCTGAAGTGTCTTCTTCCTTCACTAAAATCAACTTCTATGTAGGACTCTGCAGTTGTAATTTTACATTCTTTGCTTTGATGTAGATTTGCTGTTTTCCAACAGTTTAGCAATACTGATCCATAACTTGAAGCAAACCTTGTTTCAGAGAGTACCCTTCGGCCTAGTGCTCACATACTGGTTAGAATTGGGCTGAGAATCCAAGTCCCGCCTTCCCCTGGTTAAAGTTGGTTTCCACAGGCAATTCAGTGTTTTATAAGCTGACTGTGAGGCTCTGAGTGTACCCTCTAAGGCATGCAGTTTAGATTCGTCCTGAAGCCTGTGTGCTCTAGGTATTGGGGTGACATTATAAGGCATATCAAAGTAGCTTTGTGTAGTTGGGGAAAATGTTTATAAGTATTTGGAAAAGTGGCTCAGCATGTGTCAGATGGTGAGTTGTGTCAACGTGGGGCTGAAGGTGGCACCCATCCAGGGCTAGAGAGTGTGTCTGACTTGTTATATATATATACAGAGTATTGTCATGGCAATGTGGAAGCTGATTCATAAGGGATAAATGATTGCGTTTGTAAATGGACTTCAAATTAACTTGTACAGAGGGTGTTTGATTTCAAGTAGAGAGCTGGGATTTCATGCACAACTGAATTTTACTTGTAGCTGGAGATGGCGTGTGCTGTGGGTCTGAAGGTTAGTAGACGGCACTGGACTTGGGGCAGCTTGTTTTGCATAATTTGTTCTGGGTCTTGTCATTAAGGTCATTAAGTTGCAGAGTTCCCACTTTCTGACCTTGTTACACTTCTTCTTCCTTTGAACCCAGACTATTGATTTCTAGAAAGGAACTCTTCCTGCAAGGTGACCAGTTCTTGCTTTGAGTACTTTTTCAGCCTTCTAAGGAGCTGTCCCCTTTGGGAGGTAATTCCTTACTGCCAGCCTTTTATTTGTTTCTTTGAATGTGGAGTTTGCAAATGTCCAAGGAGTTTGGACTCTGCAACCTTTGGTCACTGAACATTTGACAAGTGAGGGGAGATTTCCTGGGTGAACTTTTCCTGTGCTGAAGGTTGACTTTTCATTATTAAAGCAGAAATAAGAAAACATGTATTTGAAGTAAGGATAAATGCTGGTAGGTTACCAAATAAAAAGCCCAGTGCCAGGTGTGGGCTACCTTCCCTTGAGTTGTTGGCTAAGGGCACTCCAGAGAACCCCCCCAAACAATACAGGATCTTGGCATTGCTCTTGGTTGCCCAGAAGAACTTAATGGTAAGACTCTGTTGCTATAAACAACATGCACTTTGGTCACAGGACATGGAAAAATCAAGTTGGTACTGACTGAGAAGCTGCTTCCTTGCTGACTAGCTTTCATAGTGCTAATGTTATGTAGGCAGCTAGGGAAGAAAATTCCTCAACATTCTTATCCAGTTGTCAGTCCTGAAAACTATAATAATAACTGGCCTAGTAAGATATGCCCATTGGGGCAATAGTGGCACAACTGTTATGGGGATAACCAACTACTCATTGGCGTTAAGGCTACTTCAGAGGAAGAAATGCCTGTCTGGTACTGTAAATCTGGCCAAGCACCCATGATTGGTGAACTCATAGACACTTCGGCAGTAAACTTACTATTATTTTACTAAATGAACATGATACCAAAATGCCCTCCAAATTCATATCTCTATACCCATAATTTAGTGGAACTCTCAGACTTCATCAGAGGTTTCTTTGTGTGGTAGAGAGCAGTTAATACAAAAACTCAAAACGGGTCAAAGTGAAGAGAGTAAGTGTCTGTGGAGTGCTCAGCCACAAATGGGACATCTATAGCACACCCGTTTCCCCCAAGGCTCACATACCATCATGGAAGAGGGGGCAGAAAGATTGTAAGAGCCAGAGGCTGAGGAGGACTGGACAAGGAGTGTCTTCTGGGCATGGCAAGACCACTGTACTCATGAACACAGAGTGGCTATGGTTGCGTACACAAAATCAAGCCATTCAATGTTCTAGCATGGAGGGGGCAAACTTTCATCAACCTCTACTCCTAGCTGAGGACCTATAGCCAGTTAATGGCTGTAGAGGAGGGAGGGTCAGTTTTCTTTAAGGGTGTGATCCCTGGTAGGTTTACCATGTTTCAGTGACTTACCCCACATCTGTGTGTGTATTTGGCAGCCCTAACTGGACTCAGTGGGTTATAAAATATCAAGAGGACATGAAGTTGGGAGAGGGTTGGGGATGGGGGTAGATCTGAGAAGAGTTAGGGGGAGGAGTTGGAGATAAATATCAAAGTGTATGAAATTATCAAAACAATATAAATATTACATTAAAAAATAATAAATGCTGGACTTTCTATGGACTCTTGAGTAGAATATCCCCCAGAAAATGTATGAACTTAAAGTTATAATCTTCACAGAGGACTCTATATCTATCTATATCTATTTCCAGTCCTCCAAGAGTTCTTTAAATGCCAAATCATGTTCATCAAACTTGGGATGAGTTGACCTTTGCTTATATTGTGTTTAGTAATTTGCCCCCGTTTTTTGAGTCAGTGATCTCACTGTGCAGCCCAAGCTGGTCTTGTACTTACTGTCCTGTGTCAGCCTCCATCCTGAGTGCCGGGAATGCAGACGTGCACCACCCCTCTTGCCTGTTTTTATGATTTTATTCATACTGTATGTGATCAGGATCCTGATGATTAAATTGTACATATACTTTGATGATTTCCAATTTTAATAAAATGGGACTATTCATGTGTTTTGAAGTACTTTGTTAGAGTCTGGAGTTCCCTCCTCTCCCCAGTTTACATATGGAAATCCTAGCTTCAGAGCAATGGTATTGAGGCGGTGGAGATTTTGGGATGTGGGAAGTGGTCAGATCTTGAAGGAGAGCCTTACCTTCATTGGAAGGGGGAGGGCCGTTTGCTGTGTCCGCTGTCCACCAGGTGAGGACACTGTGGAGAAACTTGACTTCTGCACACAAGCCTGCTGGCCCCTTGACTTTGGACTTCCCAGCATTTGAGACTCTGGGAAGTAAATGTGATTATTTTACCTACCCACGCTGGGAGTTGACAAGAGATGCTTTGTTTTTAGTAAATAGGACTTGATGTGACATTGTCTCATCCACTTTCTTCATCCTTTTCCTGGCAGTTGTAGATAAAAGAATAATTAGGGTCAAAACAGAAGTCTACAACACAGCACTGTGATACCCACCAAGCTTAATTTGACTGGGATTAACAAAGAGTACCTTGAGCTTCTACCACTGCAATGGCAGAAGTATTTTAGTCCCTGTTAATATTTATCTGAGTTAAAAAAAAAAAAAAAAAGGAATTTAAATGTTCTCTTTCATTTTGGTGTAGTAATTTCCACAGTGGCTTTGAGGTTTTTTTTTTCCCTACCTACTGTTACACCACCCTGTCCTGCCAACCTAGAGTGCACAAATATTTGGTGAGGATGTAATATTGACATAGACAAACAGGTTATGTTTGCACACTCACACACTTTTTCTTTTGTTTGGGTACATTGGTAATATCTTTTCAATTAGGAAAAAAGCATGAGCTGGCTTTACATTAACATGGGTAGTTGTCTATCTTTATTTATTTTTTTACTTAAATATAAATTTTTCAGTCTTAATACTGGCTTGACACAGGAAAGTGTTGATTTGTGAAAAGCGTGTTCTTTTCGTAGCTAATGAAAATGATTTACAAATAATGTATTTATGAGTAATTGTAGAAAACGCACTGAAACTGAGCTGGGCTTCTGCTGTAGTGTTCTGGTTTTGATGGGCACTTCGGCCTGCTGGGTGTTTGTGGGCTGAGGCTGGGGAAGGTGGCAGCCTTGGTCATTTCCTCAAGCCCTAGGGAGATGAAAGCACACCTGTGAGGCACTCACTCACCTCAAAATCAGCCCCAAACCAGTTCTCCTCTACAGCAACCATGAGGGAGAGGGAGAGAGGAGGCAGAGGGCCGTCTGTCTCTTGGAGGTCCCCAGGCAACTCCAATCCTGCACCTACTCTGAGATCTAGAAGCTTTTGGGACTTTTTGGGTTGGTTAGG